GTCCGATTGGCTGAAGCTTTTTTTATTGGATAATACAACAACTACAATAGGAATAAAGTCAAATGTGTTTCATTCTTCAGATTGTGCTATAGACTACTACTTCACGTTTTGCACGAGAACTTTTATATTCCGTGTCAAAAGCACTTAAAGTTACTCATCTCACCCTCCATGACCTTTTCAAAATGGCTACCTGCACTTTTTGTGGCTTTATCAGTCTTAATACTTAACAGTAAGTGGAAGTATAGTGAACCATTAGTGAACCACTAGTGAACCACTAGTGGACCACTAGGGAACTACTGTGCGAAAAAAAAACGTTCGTTTCCTGAAATAGTATCCGAAGTTGAAATATGCCATTTTTTTAAATGTTTAAAAGCGAGGTAGAGTATTGTCTATGTTCAGTGTTTGTAAGAAACATCGGAAATATAAATTAACTTTAAAGTCAAGTCGCTGATTTAAACGGTTTCAATCAGCAATGATTCATATGTTGTCCGGTATTGTTGTCATATATCTAGGTAAAAGCCTGTGGATATGGCCACATGTTTATGCACTTTTAGGAGAGACTCTCACAAAATTGAAGAGTAGTGTTTCTCCTTTAATTTTTACCACACGCTAACTAGTTCGTTGACGACTTTAACAGACAGCCAACCGTCACCTTCTTCAAAAGAGTGTTCTTCTGTCATCTTTTGGACAGACACCCTAAGTGCTTCCTCTGTCAGCTTTGCGACGGGGGGAACGCGCTTATTTCTGACTCTTTTTAGTGACTTCACGGCATCTAAGTGACAGTACTTCCAATTCAGTTCAGCTTGTAGCGAGGCCCACTGACGTTTTTCTCTGTTTCCCGATGTTTTTGACATGTCTTTCACCTTTCGTTATACTAATGAGTTAAATCTTCGTGGAAATGTTCTTTTGAACATCATGTTTTGTATCTCGTCACACATTGTTGCCATGAGCAGAGAGACTTGCACTTCCTTGAGAGAGTCAACTCTTTTCTGGACCAAATCCAACTCACGGCTTTAGAGATCCACCTTCTCTTTCAATATCCGTTTTTGTGTTTCCAGTCCTTCAATTTTCCCTTCTAAAGCCTTAATTTTAGCATGATTGCGTTCCTCATTTTCTCTTAGCTTGTCAATTTCATCCTTCAGCGCCTTGATTTCTCTCTCCCGGCTTTGAAGTCTGACTTAAAAAACACTGTTTCCTGCTGACTGATCACTTAGAAAACTTTCTTGAGCGGCTCTCTTATGTTGAGGGTTACTTGAAGAAGTGCTTGTCGACATTCTACTTATCCCGAAGAGTGAAAAGCTGAAGATGTGAAATAGTTTTTGTGTGGCTTACACGAAGTATACACCACGCAATGTCATGATCCAAGATGTTTGTTCCAGCTGGATTTGTCACGGTGAACAGAGCGCTTGTCACTTGGTTTACTATCGTCGAGGATATATTCCAGTCTGCGCTCGGCTAACTTACGTAAGCTTCAAAGCTTCAGAAAGCGGACATTTCATATTTATGGGTGTAACACGTTGTCGAAGATCGTTTTTTTTATCTAGTTATTCGTTCATCTTTGTTGCTCTAATTTCACACGCCGGCTTTCCTACAGTCGGCTTGTCTTCTAAGTGCGGATTACAGCGAGGAGTTGTGCTCTCACAGGCCAACATTTCACGGTCGCCAACATTTCACGGTCTGGACCTTTGGTGCAGGTTGCGCCTCATCGAAACTTAGGGGTCATTATTGACTCTCGCAAGCCAATATTCAACGGCTTGAATCTGCTCAGTAGACCTGCTTGAGAATATCGGAGAATATCTGAATGTGTCTGAAAGTATTTGAAAGCCTCTGAAATTACTTGAAAGCAAAAGAGATTCTCCTGCAGTGCTTGTGTTTTCCTTGCTGTTGTTGCTGTTGAATTGAATTGGACGAACCATCCACACACAGTTGACAAGAGTCTGCTAACCCAAGATTTCGTCAGGAGAAAGTGATATGGGAATCTCTGTTGAACAATACCGATCAAAAAATCGGCTCTCATGAGAATTTCCGTAAAAGAAAAGATGCCTTGTCGCGTATTGTTTTTGGAACGTAATGCCAATGATGTTTTACATGAGCGTCTTTTAATTACCAACATTGAAACAAGTTGTTGGACAGTACAAAATGTGGAACGAAGTAGTGCTTTGGTTTGCCTAATCTGAAACTGCGCTTTGTCGTTAACATGGAACTTGGTGTAAATGGCTATTGTGATTGATTGCAAACTTTGGGGAAGTAATACATTGAAACTCAGTAACAAAGTAGTTTCGCTTTTATCAAAATACGAATAGGAGCTTAGTTTTTTAATGTTACTACTGAAATGTGATTAGTATTATGTTTTCCAAGTAATGCCCAGAAATATTCAGACCTTAACATTTTCATGACTTACTGCGCACACCCTATGATCTCATAACATTTGTTGTTTGTGAAAAATTTACTTGTGCTTATTTAGAATACCAAAGTACACTTAAATTAATTTAGCTTAGACTTTGTTGAGTTTTTATGAAGACAATTCAGTAGAACTGACATTTGTTACTTTTATAATTAGAGCCAATAGTTATAGCTAGAGTTTATAGTTAGATGTGGATTAGATAACCATCAGGCATCCTTGAGACCCAGGGTTCAAATCATGCTGTAGACCCCTGAAAAGCACAGTCTTAACAGATCAGTTCCAAACTGTCATAGTCATTCTGAATTTTGATTGGTACCGGAAGTTCGATGGTTTTCTGGCAAATCAGAGTGAAGCAGGTCTCACAAGTCCTCTTTTGTGCTCTAACACAAAGTGATACATGAAGTTTAGTTGCTTACCATTTTTGTTTTGGACTTTTTTGTACGGTAGATTAGCACTTTTCATGATGATGTCAAGTTGACCATTTGCATGATGATGTCAAGTTCACCTATTCATT